ACCCTTCTTTTGAAGAGAATCTGATCTCTGGTCTGGTTCATGGAATGCCGGAAGGCTGTAGCAAGTTACAGGTCCATAGATGTATGGAGCTGGTGAAAGTCCTGCATACACTCTGCACACTTTCTAACCATAAATCAACAAAACTTTGCTCCTGAACAGTAAAGAATTTTGTAATGTCTCAACAGGGGATCACAATGGCTGGGAGCCCTTTTTCCCTTGAGGACTGGGAAATTGCCAAATATTTTATACATAATAATATTCAGTGATAATAAACAATTGTGCAACTATTGGATTATTATGAAAGCATACAAACTGATGTCCACCCTTTCCTTTTCTTTACTTCTAATCTTATTTCTGTTTTGCAGATGAGCTAGGACTCTTTTATCTTTTATCTCCAACCCCAAATAAGAGAACTATGCCAGCTTCAGGGATTTTTAGCCCAGTCTCTGGAAAATACTCTCTTGTCAGATTTCACATCCATTCTCTGTGTTCAGATTTGTCCAATTTGAATTGAGGGAAAATTGCTTCCGAGCCGAGATAAAGCCAAGAGCTGGAGATAAAACGTGGCTTGCACTGTTGCCAAACTCCAGTCTTTTCCCAAAGGTATCTTGCACAGGCTTTGCAATAAAACTTGGCAGTTATAGTAATAAGGTCAGGCATGTACCATTGCAAAGCGTGGTTGGGAGGGGGGGGTGTTGTTCTTATTAGATAGTTGGGAGACAAACCCATGTCCCGAAAATTACAATAACACCCCAAATCCACAAAACCGTGATACTTTTCCATAGTATTTAGGTTCCCTTTGCACAATGGCACAATGTCTCTGCTGTTAGTTCTGTTTTTGTAAGAGTCTTGGAGACACAGGTATGTCTCCCCTCACCTCCCAAGAATAAGAGCATTGTGCAATGCCACAATTCACCTTTATGTGATCATAAGCCCATTTACAATAACATAATTGCCTAACCAGAGGCTAGCCACAATCTTTTGGGCCACAAATCCCTTATTCCCCAGTCATCATACTGGTTGAGGATTCTGGGAGCTGCAGTCCAAAAAAAAAGAGGAAACATTTCCCAAGTCATACTTTTAAGAAAGAAAAGAACAAGACCTTCCCTGCACCTGTTCAATTGGGCCACTAGGTGTCAGTCCTAAATTATCAGCATAAAAATGGTCATAATTTTTCTTTTAGACCATCTCTAGCAGGACATGGAGAATCTCAACATCTTTTAGATCAGTGGTTTCAGAACCTAGTCTCTAACCAAGAAGAATTTTTCCCTATATCCAGTCTACCTATTTCAGTGAATGTCTTTTCATGCTGAATTTTCCACAGGTGTGTGTTCTGTTCATGACCAGACCTGTTGGATATCAGGATTAACTCAGCCAAAAGTATAGAAATTGAACTTTTATATAGATCCAGGATGGTGTGGTGGTTTGAGCATTAGACGATGACTCTGGAGATCAGGGTTCAATTCCCTGTTTGACCATGGTTCACCTTAGCATCATCATATGTCGGAAACAACTTGAAGGCACACAGCAACAAAGCCCCTTTAACATCTGGAATAAAACCCAGAGTGGGTTCACTAGACTCTTGCCATAAAACCCACTCCCCAATTCCAAAGAGGGTGTTGGTGGAAAATATGGGACAGGATCTGCTTTGGTTTGTTGTTGTTGTGTGTCTTCAAATCATTTCTGAGTTATGGTGACACTAAGGTGGACCTATCATGGGGTTTTCTTGGCATTTCTTGGTGGGGATTTACCTTTGTCTTCCCTCTGAACATGAGAGAGTGTGACTTGTCCAAGGTCACCCATTGGGCAGGGATTTGAACTGTGGTCTCCAGAGAG